GGCCAGGCCTAGGGACCCTACCCTGCACGAATTTCGTGCACCGGGCCATTAGTATTGAATAATATCATACATGTTGGTTTAACTATTTCAATAAAATACCGGCTGATACCTATTGGCAAAACTAACCCCTTATTAAGAAAAAATGGCCTTTTTAGGTCACTTAACCTTTCCTCTCCTTCCTAATCTCACTGACTATAAAACCAGGTTGGCTACACAAGGCCTGTGGGAATGTTTCAAGAAGCTTTAAGTGACAACTCCTTTGGAAAGGGCTAAAAAGTAGAAGTACACCTTCTCCAATCATCCCATGTCATTTGGACAAAAGCAACATATCCTTGCCTTTTAGAAAGCATGCCCTTATAAAAAAAAATTTTAAACTTCACAACTTTAAACAAAAGAACTTAGCAGAAAAGGATTGAAATGAGTCAAAAAAGTGACCTTTACATGTGGTATTAGGCTCACGTTAAGAGAAAAAACAACTATGGTCAATAACTTTTAAAAATTAAAATTCTATGTTTTTCTTTATTATAATCTATACAGAATTTTTATAGTAGACAAGAAATGAAAAACTTTTGGAGCCATTTTTATAGTGGAATGTTCTTAACATCCTATATAATAAAAGCCTAATATGCTAAGTGTCCGGTCATCTGGTCATCTGTTCAACCAATCAAAGCGTAATATGCTAATGATATACTAAGGCCGCTCAACCGCTTGCTACAATGTGCACTGACCACCAGGGGGCAGACAGTCAACTGGTCAACCAGTCACTATGATGTGCACTGACCACCAGGGGGCAGACACTCTAACTGGTAGGTTAGCTTGCTGCTGGGGTCTAGCAGATGGGGACCCCAGGCTGGACATGCCCTGGAGCCCTCCCGTGGTCCTTCCCTGGCTGGCCAACCTCCCGTGTCCCTCCAGGTCCTGATGGTGCACCAGTGGGATCCCTTGGCCTGGCCTTGCCCTCTCGCAATCCAGAACTCCTCGGAGAATGTCGGAGAGCCGGTTTTGGCCTGATCCCGCTCAATGCAGAAGCTGCCCGCTGGTGGTCAGTGCGCTCCCACAGGGGAGGCGCCGCTCAGCCAAAAGCCAGGCTCACTGCTGGCGAGGGCAGTGGCGGTGTCAGGAGTCTCTTCCACCTCCGCGGCAGCGCTAAGATGTCCAACTGACAATTCAGGCCCACTCCTCTGAGGGCTCTTGGACTGTGAGAGGGCGCAGGCCAAACTGAGGGACACCCCTGCCCCCCCGAGTGCACGAATTTCGCAGGAGCCCTAGTTAACTATATATTTTTCAAAGTAAAAAAATATATACTTTTAATAGTAATCCAAAATTTCTTCCCAGGTAGCCAGCCATAGAATCAAAATTTTAATAGCAAAACTAAGTTTGGCAAAGTACATGATATTTTAACATCACTTTTGTGACACAAAAGCATGACTATAAGTAAATTAGGAATGATTACACTAAATTACTGTTTGCTTTTCTACCTGCCTGCTACACAAATTAGCTTCAATGCAGAAGGAACATTTCTGAATAGAAAATTAAGTTACCAAGCTGAAATAAAATTGTGAGTATGGGAAGAACTACTTGATGTTTTCATAAGAAAAGGGCACATACATATTTGACATTTTCATTTACTTGTAAATTACTCATTTAGAAAGAAAGTATATAATAATCCAAACTATAATCAAACCTTCCAGAATAGTACATTTCTCATAAATAAAAGCAATGACTCATTTTACTTCACTAATACGGGTATTTGTAAATTGATTCTTTAAATTAGTTAAAAGATCCCTTCCATCATGTGGGAACTCAGCAAGAGGTCAGCAGTTTGCAACCCAGAAGAGGGCCTTCACTAAAACCTGGCCCTGCTGGCACCCTAATCTTAAACTTTGTCTGCAGAACTGTAAGAAATAAAAGTTCTATTGTTTATAAGCCACCTGGTCCGTGGTATTTTGTTATAGCAGCCCAAACTAAAGCAACCACGTTTGCCCTTCTGGAAATAATCATGACCTGGGACAGAAGACCTGGACTCATCCACTGACATGGCCCCTCCCTCCTGGTCTTCAGTTTCCCCACCTCTACAGGAGGGAGAGAACCACATGATTTCCAAGGGACTTTCTGGTTCCTCCGACATCCTCTGGATTCAGTGGCTCTACTTTGTGACTGCAAAAAAAGTTGCAATTTTGGCTGAAGTGGAAAGGCCCCTCACACTCAGGAGAGGCACACCTGTGGGCGTGTGCACCTCTGAAGGTGGCAGGCAGTGAGGGGAGTTTAGTGAGGGAGCAAGGCAATCAAGCAATGATGAAGCTATGGGCAGACACACATCTGGCAGAAACAGGAGAAGGAAGTCAGACACCTGGTTTTGAGTGTCCCCCCACCACTTAACTACATGACCCACGCTAGTCCTTAATCTGAGCCTTCATTTCCCTCTTGGTCCATGGATGAGCTATCAATGTGTCTGCTGAATTGGGTTTTGAACCCTGAGGAGCTAATGGAACAGGAAGCCAAACTCTGGGCTCTGAGATGTCACCTCCAGGAGGGGAGGGGCCAGTAAGGGGAGCCCTTCCCACCCACCTCCCACTCCTGCTGCTCCAGATGCAGCAGAGCAAAAGGTGCTGATACCTCTAAACCCAACTCCCCACAACCTTCTGCTATCAGACTAAAGCAAGAAATCCGGACTAGACAAGAGCCATTGTGTTAAAATTTTATGTGAAATTCTGTAAATGTAGAGTGTGCCTGAGTTCGCCTGCCCACGAGGCCTGGCCTGTCAGCTCACGCTCAGCACTTGGTGTGGATAGCTGTACTGCCCTTCTCCTCAAACTCTTCCTTGCTGACCCAGAGCTGCTGGAAGGCCTGTAGGGAGGCCAGGATGGAGCCACCGGTCCACACGGAGGTCTTCCTCTCGGAAGCTGCAGCCACTGCGGGGCTGTCCCGAGGGCACAAGAGGCTCAGCTCCCTCTGGAAGCGCTCAGGGAAGCCCTCCAGCATGGTGCAGCCACCACACAGCAGCACGTTTGCGGCCATCTCCTCCTTGAAGCCCGCCTCCTGGCAGTGGCCCAGGCAAGTGGCTGTGAGTGCAGGGAGGCCGGGCTGGCTGCTTCCCACCAGGGTGGGCTTGAAGAGCATCTCGGCACACTGGAAGCGCTCATGGCCAATGGTGATGATCTTGCCATCTGGGAGCTCGTAGTCCACGCGCAGCTCCTCCAGGTCCAGGCCAAGCTCCTCCTCAGGCTGGAAAGCCGAGTAGCAGCACATCTTCTTGATGTGGTCAAGTACGTGCAGGTGGTCGTCCTTGGTGAAACTGTGGCCGGCCTTGATGAGCAGCTGCAGCAGGTAGTTAGTGAGGTCGCTCCCCGCATAGTCAACCCGGCCAGTCAGGCCTGGCAGCACGTTGCCTTCTGAGATAGGAACCACATGCGAGACACCGTGCCCGCTCTCCACCACCAGCCCTGTGGTCTTGCCGTAGGAATAGATGGACAGCAGTGACTGGGACGTCACGTGCATGGCGGGGATGCCAAAGGTCTCAAACAGGAGCTCCGCATACTTCTCCCTGTTGCTGCTGGGGCTAAGTGGGGGGTCGGAGACCAGCACGGCATGCTCCTCGGGGAGGATCTTCATCGCCTTGTGGAAGATGTACTCCCAGATGTTCTGGACACAGTCCCAGTCCACCACAATGCCGTGTTTTAGAGGGTTAACCAGCTTCAGGGGTGCCTCAATGTTGAGCAGCTCGTGGCCCACATAGATCTCCTTGCAGGCATCACCCACATCAGCTGCCTCGTAGGGCTTGCCCACCGTGGAGGAGATGAAGTAGGTGGGCCTTGGCTCTCCTGCATAGCCACACTTACAGTACTGCGAGCCCAGGTCGACAATAAGCGCCTTAATCTTGTGCACATTCTTGGGCTTCATCTTCAGCTGATTGGCTGAACTTGTGTCCCGAATGCCAGCATCAGGAGCTGACAGCGTTCCTGCCTCTCCAGTGTCACCATGAGCCTTGCCCGTGGGTATGGAGCTCAGGCTGTTCCTTGTCGCCATCTGCCTTCCTTCCTCACCTTTCTCACATCCACATCCTAGAGCTCCGTGGAGAGAAATGAGGGTCCCCCTCCAGCAGTGCCAGAGCAACTACTCAGGATTGTGATGTCACTGGGTGCTGGTCCATTCCAGCGCAGGGGTTGGCTTGGCCTTAGCACCTGTGATCTGTCACCCTCACTCCCATCCCCTAACTTGACTTTGCTCACAACAGAGCAGGTGACCAGCACAGTTTTAGAAACCCAAGCACACTGGGGTCTCAGAGGTTTGTATTCCTACCCCCTTACATCCCACTCCTGACCCCCTGCTCACTAACTGGACACCTTTTCCTTCTCTGCTTCTTGGCTGCCAGAGTGATATATATTTGACCCCTTATAGTAAGCCAGGCACTATACCAGGCACCTCACATGTTACTTCACAGAATACTGAGAGGTAGACAGAGCTAAGGAAATTGAGGTTCAGAATTCCAATGACTTGCCCATGAGCACACAGCTCTTGGAGTGTTTGTAGTTTAATGCAAGTTCATCTAACTCCAATGTACCAGGTCTCCCTACAGAGTGTGACGGCCCCGAGAGTACTTTCATTCCTTCAACATTTACTGGGGTTTGTGGTGGACCCAGCCCAGTACAGCCTGCCAGTGATAGATAGGAACCCAGTCACAACCAGAGCCCAGCCTAGGTGGGAAGAAGATGGAATGGATGCAGGGATTTTGCAGGTGAAAGTCCATCAGGGGAACAGAGATGCACAAAGAAGGGAGCACTCATTGGAGGGAGGGAGTCAGAAGGTTCCCTAGAGTAGTGATGCTTAAGTCGAGTTCTCAAAGATATGTGGGTATCTGTCAGGTAGTTGAAGAAGAAAAGGCATCCCCAGCAGACAGCACAGCCTGAGCAAAGGCTCAGAGGGGGGCATGGTGGGGAACTACCTATAGTTAAGGTGTTTGTAAAAATGGATGAAGCTAGAGGGTCACAGAGCCACCTAGGGAAGGCTCACGTGCTAGGAATAGGGGCTTGGATTGACTTGAGGACAGCTGGAAAACCATAAATACTCTAAGCTGAGAAGTGCTCAGATCTGACTTCTAGAACAATTTTAGAAAGATCTATGTTTAGCTGTAATATAAAATGGCAAAACTCTAAGACCTGAAAGGAGAATTGAAGAAATTCTTATAAGACTTGAAGGCATCCTAATCCTAAACTAGGGCTGTGATAGTGTGGAAGAGAGCAGGGGCAGGTTCTAGAAAAGTTAGAAGGTAGAATCTATTCTAACTGGTTGGTTGGCTCCGTGCCATCTCTAGCCTCAAGCATTGCATTTACATTAGATGACTGGATTAGATGTGGAGTGAAGGAGAAAGAGGAACCTCTCACTTCTGCCCAAAGAAAGAAAGATGGTCTGTCATACAAAATGGACAAATTCACTAGGTTCCCATAAGGCCCTCCATACCAAAATGCCCCCAAACCCACCCAAAACCAAATCTATTAGGACTTCGGTGACAAAGAAATAAGAGGAAAAAAAGGAAAGGGAAACAACTGGGGCTGAGAAGTTTTTGGTGCAGAAGTAACTGAGGGATTAGGAGACATGGATAGGAAAGAAAAGGGGGGTTATTGCTATGAAGCATGTAAGCATGTTAATGAAGAACTCATGGGACTGTTTGTTGGCTGAACTGTTTCTGGAACATGGCACTATGAAACTGGCTTATGCAGATAACAACTTTATAAGGATCACAGTTATCAGCATCACCAAGCTCCAGTGGTGGTATCACAAGTCACAGAACTGAAGGATTGTACACTTGATCTGGAAGAAACAGTTGTGAGTCATAAACTTGTCCTCACACTGGACAGATGTAACTCTCTGAAGAAGCTACTAATTGGTCTTTGGTCTACTTTTAAGGTTGTGCAGGGCAAGCCAATTCTTCCATGTGACAACCCTTATGCTATTCAAAGGCAGTGTTCAAAGAAAAAGAAAATAAATTTGTTAAGAGTGGGTACATTTTAGTAACAGTGTATGATGCAATTCAATGGATTAATATATACTACTGAGTTATTTATATGAAAGATTTGATTCAAACCCAAAGTGTACTTTACTTTTTTCTTTTGCTTTAAGAATCAAAATCATCACTAAAGGGGGGAAGAAATCAAATATTATACCTGTATCTGAATGGAAGGAGCCTCTAGTGCTCTGTAAACCATTGGTAGGACACTGTTCTTTATTTCATCAGGAGGAGTTTTGGTTAGTAGCAAATCCATTTTTTGTAAGAAAATTAACAAAATCTGTGTAGAAAAAGGGAATAATGCATTAAATTCCAGAATTTTCACATGATTTTATATATCCCAAAATTAAAAGAATATTCTAAAGAATAAAATTCTAAAGAATAAGTTATATATTTTCACACTCACCATGTTGCTAGCCTGAGGGCATGGAAGACAAAAACATACAAATCAAGTCTCTTACATTTCTGGAAGCACAATATTTAACATCTACTCTCAGTTTAGGCATTTAAATAAAGACTAATTTCCTAACTCTCACAAATCTTCAGTAATATGTCTCTTACCCACAAGTACCAACTATCTGGAAAGCAACTGGGTAAAGAAATAAAAGCCTGAGGGCAACAAAATCACATGGCCCCCAACAGTAAGTTCTGTCACTTGGTTTCTATGAAGCTCAAGAGAAGAAAAGGTACAGGAATAAAAAAGACTGTCAGGAAAAATTCTAGAAAGAAATGTTTCAGTTCATTTTTTCACCTAGCTGCCACCACGTACCTAAATTATAAGGAACAAACTGCCTCTTCTATTCATGAAGAATACTTAGTCTTGCCAAGGCTCGGTTAAAATTTTTCAGAAGGAATTTTTAGCTAGACTACTAAGGCGAAAAAGAGTACCAAAGAATGGAGGCAAATAAGAATTCAAATGGTATCCTTGGGATACTATATTGACTAATGCATAGCTTAGTGGACATGTGGCTCTGCTACTTTCCCTCCTGATATCTTAACAGTGTTTGCGGGAGTCTGCCTCAAAGCCCCCAGTTCCTTCATCTGCCCTTTCCTTAGCCACAGGAACTCCTGCCTTATCACAAAGACCTCCTTCTGTTCCCCTCCTTTCAAGGGAAGGATTGCAAACAGCCTGCCACAAAACCATTAAATCAGGTAGCTGATGGTTTATTAATAAGCGATTGCCATGTAGTGGCAAAAGCAAGTAATAATTTACTATGTGCCAGAAAATTTCATTTACTCTCAACAGCCTCTTTCATTTTGGAAACGAGCAAAATGGAAGCTTTAAAAGATTAAGGACTTGTTCAAGTAAGGAGGTAATGGACAGATTCCAACACAGGTATATGACCCTACTGCTCTGAAATCCAAGACCATCTTGAATCTGGCAAATAAATACTGTAATAGAGTTTACATCAGACACTATGCTTTTCATTTACAGCAATACACACACATATTTTTGGGTGCTATAAGCATTTTCCCTTTTCTGATGAAACTCTTCATTAACAATAAAAGAGAAAATACTGGCATAAACCTGTGTAAATGAAAGACTCTGGTTAACAGAACAAACAAAAAACAGATAAGAACACTTAGAAGTGTAAGATATACTTCTTTTTCCAAACCTGTAACTTTTAATAAGACCAATGGGAACAGTATAACACATGCACAATCTCATTACAATTAATTTTCTGAGATGTTAACTTATAGAGAACTGCAGACACTTACTTGGAGAGTTCAATTATAATTTTAGGAATGGGTCACTTCAAACATGCAAAATAGCTGACCAATGGAAAAGAAGTCTCTTATATTTACCTCAGTTTTTTAAAAGTCACATATCCATTCCTTGTTTTCAATGATAGTCACTGTTGACCAGTATTACTGAATATCAGCTGATAAATAGGAAAATTATCTATATACATACCTGTATTGGCTCCTGCTGTTTAAAGACAGGGCCAAGGTCAGGTAGAATTAATTTGACATATTCTTCTTTGGTGCATTCTTCAGCAATCATTAGAACATTGGGCAAAACAAAAGGTACCATATCAGGGTTTACAAATTCTGAAGTCAAGCAAGGCAAAATTCTCTGCACAATGACACGCTGAAAGGAAAAAATGTTTCATAAAACTAAATTTTATTTCACGTCTTTAGTACTAACATTGAAATTATAGTTTAAAATCTCCAATCCCTTTGGGTAAGGTGATCATATAATTTATGGTTGAAATTGGGACACTTTTAAAAGTAAAATAGGGTGCTATTGCCAATTATGGCAGGACAAAGACATAACTTGGTAATGTGACAGATAAAAAGGGATATATAATCACTCTTCCTTTAGGAAACCTTCCCTCAATTAGTCTTCACGAGTATGTTTTTCCTCTTAATTCCTTCACTGCTTATGATTCATACCACACAATTTAAACACTGTCCTATACTGTTAATTATTGCTTCACGCATGTTAATCCTATTTATACTTACTATAAAGGCCTTGAGAGCAAGAATAAATTTTTGTTTCCTCTTTATTCTCCATAGCATCTAACAAGTAAAGGGCTAGCAGTACTTATCAATTAATATCTGACAGATTAAACATGGGACATTATTTTGGAACCCGAAATTATTATTTTTCCAGTGGTTTCTTTAGCATTCATAGTGTTTATACTATACTAGAGGCCCGGTGCACAGATTCACCGGTGGAGTCCCTCAGCCTGGCCTGCAGGGATTGGGACAAAATGGGCTCCCCGACATCCCCCGAGAGGTCCCAGATTGCGAGAGGGTGCAGGCCAGGCAGAGGGACCCCACTGGTGCATGATCAAGGCCACGGAGGGACTGAGGAGGGCTCCAGGGCATGTCCGGCCTGTCTCGCCTAGTCCCGATGGGTCGGACCCCAGCAGCAAGCTAACCTACTGGTCGGAGCATCTGTCCTCTGGTGGTCAGTGAGCATCATAGCAACTGGTCGAAGCATATTAGGCTTTTATTATATAGGATTACATTCGTTGTTTAATAAGCCAGAGAGGGAGAGTTGAGGAACTGGAGAGGCCTAGCATCAATACAAATGTATCCCCTTAAGTGTTGGTAATACAATGAGCTCCACAATAACAGATTATGGGTTTCTTTTCTGACATTTATCTTTCTAATTTTTTTATGCTATTTCATTTTCGAACAATGCAAAAGAAGGTCCACTAAACTTCTGGCTTCAGTTTGAAGTCTTTTACAGTCACAAAGTTACATTTATTTCTTTGGAAGAGTTATTATAGCAAGTTAAAGTAAACTTTAAATTCTAAAATCCTGACTATATTAAGAATCTGACCAACAACAAACCTTGGGCAATTTTGGTAGAACCTTTGGCAGTCCTTTGAAAAACTGTGATTTCTGAAGGTTATCTCTTTGGAATAAGGTATCAAAATACTGCAGTGTTACTGCACCAACATCATCAAAGAAAGGAATCTAAAAACAGGAAATGAAATTATTTTGATAAATATTAAGGTACTTCTCATATCTGCAACTGCCACAATTTGATGAAAAATATTCAGAATATTTAACAAAATGCTAAGAGATTACTTCATAAAAATTCTAATTTAGAAAATCAGAATAAGGAAGTAACAAATTATTTTTCTTTCCAAGTTCAAATTTTCAGAAGCAGTACCTTTGAGTTGGCTGGAATAACTTTTTTTTTTTTTTTTTTTTACATAACTAGTAAAATACTGAAATATTAAGTAAAACAAGTTGGAGGTACAAAGAACATCATTAATCTATTAAAGGCCATGCTTATATGAGTGAACAAGAGTTGGAGTGTCCAAAACTTTTGCAAGCATAACTATGTTACAACTGTTGTTTCTTTGAAATCTTAATTTTATATCAGAGCAGGTATATGCATAAATTATTTAAATGTTTAAGAGTAAAAGAAGCTGAATATTTAATACATTCAAGAATACAGATATTATCTGGGGACTATATCCGATTAAATCTTGTTTTAGAAGCAGTTTATCTACTTTCACAGATTTTCTGTTCCTCCACCTAAGGCAGAAATTCATGTGTACTCACTTACCTTCGTCATTTGATCTGCATCTGGTCTTACAGTTGGAGTTACATTTAACAGTAGTTTTACATGTTCACGGACTTCCTCAGGTATATTTGTAAGTGAACTAGATCCTAAACGACTCAACTATTCAAAAGAGTGATAATATTAAATATGAATATAAAATATTCAGAGATATGCATTTATGTTGTCAAGTCCATTTAAGAAACTTAAAATTTACTTAAAAATATATTTTTAGATTCAAACAAATTGCTAATTCTATTACTGCAAGATAATTAAAACACTTATCTTTATTAGCTGATTATTTCTATTCCCAAAACAAAATGCCCAGTTTTTTAGACCATATTTTAAAATTCAGCCCTAACCGGTTTGGCTCAGTGGATAGAGCGTCGGCCTGTGGACTGAAGGGTCCCAGGTTCGATTCCGGTCAAGGGCATGTACCTTGGTTGCGGGCACATCCCCAGTGGGGGGTGTGCAGGAGGCAGCTGATTGATGTTTCTCTCTCATCGATGTTTCTAACTCTCTATTCCCTCTCCCTTCTTCTCTGTAAAAAAATCAATAAAATATATTTAAAAAATAAATAAATAAATTCAGTCTAGTAAATAGATGTCACGATTACAGTTGTAGTAACAGACTGTAATCCTCACTGATTAGATAATTACTTTTGCTAAGTTGATTTTATGCAAACAAACTATATATAAGACATTCATCTCAGAATTTTCTGAATACATTTTTAGGAAAAAAAAATCAAAGCAGCATTTAATACATTTTTAATGCAAGCAAATATTTAAAGATAAATACCTGATCCAACTGCCTACTGAAACTCTTATAAATATCTTGCTTGTTAATTTCAAATACAGGTTTCCCTTTGTTAAATACAGCATAAATGACAGTTCCTAAAGAGTACATATCACTGGCTGTTTCACAGCTCACAGAAAGTATGTATTCAGGAGCCAAATATTCAGGATTTGGAAGACACAATGATGGTAAATTTGGGTCCCATTCTTTACATGGAAACTTGGGCTATAAGAAGACAGAAAAGAGATTTTATAGCTTACATATTTCAAATTAAAACAAACCTCTATCAAGTAACAATGATCTAGTTTTAAATTCATAGTTAGCCATGTAAGTAAAAATTGTCATCCCCACCTTAAATCATACAATTCTCTAATTTCCAAATCTAGAAAGTGCATGGAACAAATTTAAGAGATAATAAAAAGATCTCTTATATTGAGATTACTGGAGTTCTCTTCCAGAAGACTATATGATACACTATGTTTTATGATACACAGGTTTCAAGTTTTATTGGCTCAAATAGATTATTGATTGAAACCTGTTCTTTTACTATCTATGAGATTTAGTTAATAGGTTCAAAAAGTTGAAAGATTAAACAAATGTATGGAAAACAGGCTTCATGCAGTGCTTCACTCACAGCACATAATCAATACGAATTCTTTCTGCTTCCCTTTAAAATGTTTAAATTACAAATCTATCTTAGGACAAATCAAGGTCCCCTTAACAACTATATATAGTAAAAACTTGAAATACTACAGTGTTTTCCAAATGTAAATAGGCAGGTATAATCACTAAGTAAAAGTGCTTTAGAACCAGAAAGACTGGATTCATTCTAGCTTTACCATTTACCACCAGCCTAAACTTGGCAGGTTATTTTATTCTATAAACCTAACCGCCTAATTGTATTTTTCCTATACCTCACTGAGTTGTTATGAAGATTAAATAAGTAAATCTATAAGAAGTGTTTAGCCCTAACCGGTTTGGCTCAGTGTACAAAGCATCGGCCTGCGGACTGAAAGGTCCCAGGTTCAATTCCGGTCACGGGCATGTGCCTTGGTTGCGGGCACATCCCCAGTGGGGGGTGTGCAGGAGGCAGCTGATCGATGTTTCTCTCTCATCGATGTTTCTAACTCTCTATCCCTCTCCCTTTCTCTCTGTAAAAAAATCAATAAAATTTTTTTTTTTTTAAAAAGAAGTGTTTAGAAAAGTGCTTCAGCAAATGTCATCATTGATATTGTTGTTATCATGCTCCAATAAGTTGGGGTAATATTGCTGGAGGGTCACAATGTTGGTTAGTGCATTTGACATGGTGAGGAAAAAAATGCCTTAACCCAACAGCCCTCAAAATTTATTTAAATCTAGCACAGGGGTGGGCAAACTTTTTGACTCGAGGGCCACAATGGGTTCTTAAACTGGACCGGAGGGCCGGAACAAAAGCATGGATGGAGTGTTTGTGTGAACTAATATAAATTCAAAGTAAACATCATTACATAAAAGGGTACGGTCTTTTTTTTTTTAGTTTTATTCATTTCAAACGGGCCAGATCCGGCCCGCGGGCCGTAGTTTGCCCACGGCTGATCTAGCATCTTTTTCTCAAGCAACATTAACTATTGTGGAATTAACGAGCTGAAGAATACTCTTGGGTACAATGAACTGTAAAATTTTTCTATAAATTTAAGCATACCATTGTACCATGCAGCCTATTTCTAGACATTTATCAGGCTTACAAATTCTCTTGACCATTCCAGACACCGTCACAAATTTCCATAGCTTTAAAAAATTAGAACACTAACACCTTCATTACCTCTTGTTCAGAAGGATTGGTCGATGATACACAAAAATCAAAGCCCATTATTTTCCAGGCTCCACTTTTATTCAAAATTATATTTTCAGGTGTAATATTTCCATGAACCATTTTCACACTGCTATGCAAAAATGACAATCCTTCAGAAACCTGTAAATGTAAAAATAACCAGACATTTTTACATTAAATAAAACTCCTTTCAATTACAATAATAAAGTGTCTCATAAATCATAATAGCTGCCTCTCCCAATAAAAGATTTTTTATTTTTCAGATAACAATTAAATTTCATCACAAATGCAAAAGTGCAGATAATCGCAGTTGCTAGGATAAACATGACAACAACCCGAGTACAACTATTAAGTTCTTTTCTTAAATTTTGTTTGTTTGTTTTGAGAGAGAGAGGGAGAGAGGGGGAGAGTGAAGGAGAGGGAGGGAGAGAGAAAGAGAGAGAGAGAGAGATTTGTTGTTCCACTTATTTATGCATTCATTTGGTTGTTTCTAGTATGTACCCTGACAGGGGGTGGAACCTGCAACTTTGGCATATCTGGAAGATGCTCTAACCAACTGAACTACCCAGTCAGGGCCATTAAGTTCTTTTCTATAAGCAAAAAGATAATATAAAAGCACTTTACTATCCTAATTTACTCAATTCCTGATTTTGAAAACTGAGGAAATCTTTGGTTCCTGAGTTACAGATAGTAAATATTGAGATACCTTTGTCAATTTAATTCTAATTCTTAGTATTTTTTATACTTACACTTCATATTGAAATTCATTTTTCTGAATAGTGTTGTGCTCAGTTTTCAAATATTAACTAATATTCTCTCATTCTCAAAACATTTAGGTTTACTGAAAGAAGCCAGACCAAAAAAGGGAGTACATATTGTATAATGCCATTTATAAAATGCTAGAAAGTAAAAACCAATTCATAGGGACAGAAAGCAGTTCAGTGATTTCCTAAGGCGAGAGATAGAAAATAAGAAAGAGCAGGGGAGAGGGATTATAACCAATATGAGGAAACTGGGGGGGCGGGGGGGGAGGATAATGGATATATGCAGGATATATGCATTCTTTTTATTGTAGAGATGGTGATTTATGAACTTATAAAACTGTATATTTTAAATATTGAAGTTTTTTGTATGCCAGTTAATTATACCTTAATAAAGATGTTAAAAATAATAAATGGAATGATCTCTGTCCTCAAGGAACTAAGAATCTACTGCAATTTATTCTATAGAGCTGAAGATATTTTGCTAAGCAGATAAAGAAAAATCAGAAAATATGGACATATATGAAATGGCTTACTATATCTCCTAATACCTATTAAATAATTCCTTTAAAGATATAATTTCTTTTTATTAACTACTTTATTATTTCAATTTAATATTTACAAAATGAATTCACAAGGTTTAAAACTCAAAAAAATCAAAAGGGAACCACCCCATGCACCAGTTAATGAGTGCCCTTACCCAAAGGTTACCCATATTATGTTTCCAACAATTTAAATATAACTTAAGTCTAGAAATAAACTACAGAAAATTCTAGAACAAAGAAATAATTTTTAAATTACTAAAAAAAAAAAATGCAATGGTTTACATTAAGTAGTCTACATGGCTAATAAATCTGAAATAGCCAAAAACAATTTTGAAGGAAAAAATTCTTTTCACAAGATGAATAAAAATACATACCTGAAGCAAACCATATTTAGTTTCTACATCATAAAGTTTATAATCCTTAATGTCTGGAGAAACAGTAGAAGGCAAATTTTCCCAGTTACCTAGAACATTGGCTAAACTGGCAAAAACTGGTTCTGTACAAAATGCCAAGCAATCCCTGTTTTAAAAAGGAAAAAGGGTTATTCACTATCATTTTTTCCTCATTAACAAAATTACTTATACATAAAACATTATTGGTTCTATTAACAAAAACATAATCTATTTTAGATTTCTCTTCAGTATTAACTTAATAACTCAAACCAATAGAACAATGTCAGGAAGCTTTGCATAGGAATTATACTGGTAAATCATTCAACGGTCTTTTAAACTAAGTGTTATAACTGTTGTGATACATTTTTTAAAACTTAAAAAAGTCAGGAAATAAAACATTATTTCAACTGTGCTTTTTGATGATTGATATTCTTCATGGAAAACCAATGAACTAATTTAAAATATTGTTACATTATACCTTAAAACATTATCTTTATTTCTAAGGATATAATTTTCAGACTATGTGCAAAGGAAGCTACAAATTTCCCATAAAGGCCTCTGGAGCAAGAGGAATCAGAAAGAGGGACAGGGCATAGGTCCAGGTCCCTATAACCAATTCCATAGGAGCAGCTTTGTTTTTTATGTATTTTATATACCATTTTGAAAGGTGTCAGATTTTTAAATTTTTAAAATTACTGCTCTTTGCCCAACTGGCGTGGCTCAGTGGTTGAACATCAACCTATGAACCAGGAGGTCAGGATTTGATTCCTGGTCAGGGCACATGCCCTAGTTTGGGGGGTGTACAGGAGGCAGCCAATCAATGATTCTCTCTCATCATTGACATTTCTATCTCTTTCCCTCTCCCTTCCTCTGTGAAATCAATAAAAACGTATATTTTTTAAAAGATGACACAACATAAATTTCATTTTTTTGTCATTCTCAGCAACAGATCCCAAGCTCATCTTTTTAAAAGATGACACAACATAAATTTCACTTTTTTTGTCATTCTCAGCAACAGATCCCAAGCTCATCCTTGAGAAAAATAGATGATAGAGCAACTTAGGCTATGGACTAACAAACTAGGCACAACAGAAGGTTAAATGTATAGAGCAGTACCTGGAACACACATAAAAACAGCCCCCAAAGAGTGAATCAATGACGAGAGGACAGGAAATTCTAGTAAATTAACAAGGACAGCAACTTTCAGACAGGGACTGTATTCTATACTTCTCTTGCATCTCCCACTTTGACTATTGCAGTGTTGAGCACAGAATAAACAAACAGACTCATGGCAAATGTGAAGAAAGCTTCAGTTAATATTTCAAAAACAGACATATACACAGAATATGCAAATAAATTTTAGGGAAATAACTAATCCTTAAGAACTCAACACTCAGTTTATAAAAATTTTTTTACTGACAGGATACTGTATAGACAGATTTCATAAATAAAGTTATTATAAACTATTTGTTCAGGAAGTTTCTTACATAAGTTTTTATAAAAACTTACCTGGATTCTTCTAAAGGATGCTGGACAGTAAGAAGTCGAGGGTGCCGTAGCCGAGTTAACTGTTGGACTCCACGTTTTAGAGAATCGATGATTTGATCCTTTTCAAATTTTTGATATTTGTCAATCAGCTTTTTATCAAAGACAAAAACAGCTACTTCCTAAAAAATAATTGTGTAACTAATTTTAATCAAGAATATATGTGTATTAAAATTTTATTTAAGTGTCACAACAGTCTTCAAATAATTAAAAACTAATAGCCTGGAAATTTTAGCACCATTGTAATATTTTTCTAATATCAAAAAGCTTGTTTCTTCATGATTAGTAAATCTAAATATTTTTAAAGGTATAAGACCCACAGCCTCATCTAAGAACACAGGAAAATCTCCATATCTGAACTCTGGTATCATAGGTACACATAAACTGTGTGTAATGTGTTGTCCCACATTTAGTAGTCTCTTACGTAACCAGAATTCAAATAAAAGTTAAAATGTTTAAAAATTCAAAATGCTATTCATAATGATAACGCTGGAGTATATTACAAAATTTTGAAATCCTTTTTAAAAGAAAGTTTGAACATGTCAGGGAGTGGTTGTTTATACACAAAACAATTTATAAGCATCTTTTACATATGAATAACCTATAATTTCTCTCTCTCCTTCTACCCTATCCCTATCTTGTTATGGGGTAGTAATGGGAATGGTTAACAGTACAGGAAGATGCTCCCCCATCACCTCTCTTTGAGATCATTCACAGCTTATTTTATACTACCAAAACCACACATCTTCCTTAACTGTCATCTTGCTTTCATTCTCTCTCAGTTACCCAGGAAAAATAGTTCCCATTCATTTACCCAATCTTAACAAATCAGTCAAAAACTAGCCATATTGATAGTTGATGAATAACCAGTTATATCTCCTTCATAAATACAAAGAAAACTGATAAAGTTGAAAGCAAAATTAGCAGGAATCAATGCTAGCCTTCCAAACTCTTTGAAAGATTTTTTTCCTTTTTATTGAATTTATTGGATGACACTGGTTAACAAAATTATACAGTTTTCAGGTGCGCAATTCTACAACAATCATCTGTAATTGTTTTGTGTGTTCACCACCCCAAGCCAAGTCTCCGTCCATCACCATTTATACCGCTTATGCCCTCCTTCAGCTCCTCCCATCCCCCTCCCTGTCATGAAAGATTTTTGAATGGCTCTTCCAGAATTTCTATAAAAGTCTCTTTCAAAAACTTCTAATTAAATTTTTTACTATTAAACTTCAATATCCAAAACAGTATCTCTCCATTTTATTGCTGTTCTCTTCTAATTATTTTTGCCACATTATGATTGCTTTCACAAGTTAGCCTAGCAACCTAACCACATAACAGAGATTTCACTGCAGAATTCCAAGCCAATAAATTTCTCAAATACAACTTAAGTTAGAGGTTCCTTATATATGTACAAGTAAGTTAAGGATATTAGAGGATATCCTTAACTTAAATCTCTGAAAAGTGGTAACATACAGGGACTGTTTAGTACTGAATTTTAACATCCCATTCCCCAAGCTTCTGTAGACTTTTTAGGAATTCTTTCATTCCTAATAGCAACCCTATGACACAAGTTATTATCCTCAATTCACAGATGAGGGCATTGTGAAGATAAATGTATTATCTAAGATTTCACACCTGGTAAGATGAAAAAATCAAGATTCGAATCTAGTCAGTCTAATCCTAGGGCCCACATTCTTAGCCAATACACCGTTTTGTCTCCCCAGAAATAACACATGGCCAATATATATCGAGCACCCCAGTAAAACATGACATATGCCTTCAGGAAAACAATCATTTAAGTGAGAGCTTTAAACAACATTCATATATACTGATAAATACATTATTTTACCTCTTTTGCTCATTATGAGACACAAGACAATCTGGAGCTAAGAGCATTACGTACTATTAATTTGAACTAAAAACAAATGACCTAGAAGTTCAAGTTCCTATCTCACTATTCATGTGACAACCTTATTTTAGTAAGTGTTCTGCTATAACACATTTTATAAATGCATCCAACTTAAATCTGTTTATTTTTTCAAGATATTTTACATCTTTAAAAACAGGTCATGTGAAATGGCTCTTGACTCTTGCAGTTTCACACCTTAATGAGGAACACTACAGTTCGTAAAGAAGAAAAACATGAAACTCTCTCAGACAGTCTTCTTTTAGGTCAAAGATGAAAGATTCCTACATAGGTCAGAATAGGTTATTTTCTTTGTTTCAATTATTTAATTAAAGTAAACCACTTTCAACAAAGTTGTTACTAATTAACTAACACTTTAGGCCTCATACCTACATCCTAAGAGAAAACTCTTTCATCAGAAGACTATTATCTAATTTCTAATTTGTGTTTTCCTTCTAGTATTTCACTATACTAACCTCTGCTAACAAATATCACTCGTGTAAAACTCCTGCCACCTTATATGTTTACAAGTTTCTTGAAGAAAGAAACCATGCCTTAAGTATCTCTGTACCCCACCACAGGATCTACACCTAGAAGACAGATGTTTATTGCCTATGTATGAACTACTAATATAAACACAAATACCTAGGACACTTTTGGTTAAGCACAAAGACACTATTATGTTACCACATCCTTAAAAAGTAATGTAAAATTCAGTTACATGAAGCTTTTCATTATTGTCTTGAATTAAAATCTTTTTCAACCTTTCATTATGAAAATTTTCAAACATACAAAAAGATAATATAGTGTCACCATCCAATATATCTTCTACTTAAGATTCAACAACTATTAACTCTAAATAAAAATTCTTTTATTAAAAAAATTACTTAAGAAAACATAAGCCATATTAGCACTCTACTATTTATTTACTTCATATTCTTTAAAATACATTAGCAAAGAAAGTTACCACTAAAAAGTATTTTTCCTGCCCTAACCGTTTGGCTCAGTGAATAGAGCATCAGCCTGCGGACCAGAGTCCTGGGTTTGATTCCGGTGAAGGGCACATACTTTGGTTGCAGGCTCGTCCCTGGCAACCAATCGATGTGTTTCTCTCACACTGATGTTTCTCTGTCTTTCCCTTTCTCTCCCACTCTCCCTAAATATCAATGGAAAAATAGCCTCGGGTGAGGATTTAAAAAAAAAAGGAATGCCAACTGGATCAGAACTATGGTAAATAAATCTAAATGTCAGGTGAATAAAAAATATTTTTTTAAAAAAGTATTTTTCCTAAATAGCCTATCTTTAAATTTAAAAAGGCTATGAAATAATTTATTGTAAAAACAAATGTTTCTCAAAATGGAGGCTGTATATATCTTTTTTAAAATATATTTTTATTGATTTCAAAGAGAAAGGGAGAGGGAGAGAGATAGAAACATCAATGATGAGAGTAAATCATTGGTCAGAGGCCTCCTGCACCGCCCCCTACTGGGGAGTAAGCCCACAACCCAAAAATGTGCCCTTGACAGAGTGGAACCTGAGACCCTTCAGTCCACAGGCTGACACTCTAGTCCAGGGGTGGGCAAACTTTTTGACTTGAGGGCCACAATGGGTTCTTAAACTGGACTGGAGGGCCGGAACAAAAGCATGGATGGAGTGTTTGTGTGAACTAATATAAATTCAAAGTAAACATCATTACATAAAAGGGTATGGTCTTTTTTTTTTTAGTTTTATTCATTTCAAACGGGCCGGATCCGGCCGTAGTTTGCCCACGGCTGCTAGTCTATCCACTAAGCCAAACCAGCTAGGACTGTATATATCTTTTGATATACGCCTAATTTATAATTTTTAAAAGCTACTTTGCTTACTACAAAGTGAACACTTGCTGAAAACAAGATAGTTTAAAGTAATAAAATCTAAGTTAATGTAGACCAATGTGTCTAGGGTTTCCTAACAGCAATCAGGACCTCCACTAACCTATCCCTCAAGCCACCAGAAATGGTTTTTTAAACACAGCGGTTCCCTGTGATCTCTATTTTATGGATCTTTCATGACTGGCCAGTGATGACTACCAAACATCATACTCTTCATTTTTCATGTGATTTTGCGACAATGTTTCTTTCTCAAAACCATAAAGCAAAATCTAAAATTTTATTTAGATTAAGTTAAAAATAAGGTGGTTTTGAGAAGACTGAGAGATAAGATACACCCTTATTTATTTTTAACTATTAAAACTAGGCATTCGAATCTCTTAGCCCAAAGTCCCTAATCTGTTGTTTACCTCAAAGTCAAATTTAAGATCATATATTCTGCTATAAAACACAACTGCAATCAAGTACACTGCATGCTACATCAAGAAAGATGCCCTCAGTCTCAATGTCCCTTTATAGGGGGAAGTAAGGAGGGGGAGGACTATGGAAAGTATCATTTTCCTTTGTTTTTTCCTTCCAGTTTCTATAAGTTCACAGAAAGTTCTATATTTTGTCCTGTATGGTAAAACCAGCCACATGTGGCTACGGAACATTTGAAATGTGACCAGTGCAACTAAAGAACTGAATTTAATTTTATAGAATTTCAATTAACTAAAATAGCTATATAAAGCTTGCGGCTACCACACTAAATATACTGAATAGCAAAACTCTAGATTATTTTCTGTGATTCCTAATTCAGTGCCCAGGTGAGTAAAGACTTAGCTATTCCTTCAAGAATGAGCCAGTAGTCCAGATAGGATCATCAGTTCTGACCCGAAAGAGGCAAAGAAAAACATTTCAAAACCACATCCATAGAGAACAATGAAATATTTCAAAACTATATTTTTCCTCAAAGCAATAAATTTTGGGGTGAGGGGACAAGAAATATGGTAAAGTTTCCTAAGAGAACCCAGTTCTGGCAGTCAGCAATTAAGGACTGCTGTATTACTGTACAGTAATTAATCAATGATCTACTATCTGTGCCTTGTTCTCATGTTCTATGAGCAGCAGCTCCAATAGTATCAGAGGATGTCAGCGTATGTATGAACTACTAATATAAACACAAATACCTAGGACACTTTTGGTTAAGCACAAAGACACTATTATGTTACCACATCCTTAAAAAGTAATGTAAAATTCAGTAAATTTGGTGTTTTTTCACTTTCCCCTTATATAACTACTTGTAAAAGCAAATTTGTGCTATTGTGGGAGGTTGGTCATTTATAGGCTTCATGACTTCAAACTTCATGAGCTTTTTAAGTAGTTAGTACTCAAGTAACCACTTACTTTGTGGATGAAATTCTGTTGAATTTAAAGGGAAAACAATGTTCAAAAAAATGACAAATCAGTCAGCATTGAAGATACAGATCAATTTTGGACTTAAAGACTCCCTCCAAATGGCAATAAAAACAAGATTTGCAGGTCAGGTACAAACCACATACCAGCGCCCTGCCCGGTTTGGCTCAGTGGATAGAGTGTCGGCCTGCGGACTGAAGCGTCCCAGGTTCGATTCTGGTCAAGGGCATGTACCCGGGTTGCGGGCACATCCCCAGAAGGGGGCGTGCAGGAAGCAGCTAATCGATGTTTCTCTCTCATCAATGTTTCTAACTCTATCCCTCTCCCTTCCTCTCTGTAAAAAAATCAGTAAAACATATTTAAAAAAAAAACACCACATACCAGCAATACTTTTCATAAAAGTATTATCAAAGCCAATTTAGTCTTTAATACTTGTTTGGGAAAGAAGCTGATTTGGGAAAAGTGACAAATAATACATATCCACAATTATATGACTGTGATAGTCACCAGAAAATTCGTGTAATAAATCCCATAAGTCTTACAATCCAAATGTTTCACTTTTAGGGAAGTACAGTACTTTTAGAAATGGTGATTTTTCCTTTTAAAGAACATACTTCTACAGAGGCCTTAAATGGGAAGGTTTTTCAATTCTTTAGCAATTCCAACAGACAGCTGCAGTAAAATTTAACACTAATGATCCTCCACATTTCTAAGAACAATCTGTTGGATCTCCTAAGTCAAATTTAGAAAATAATACTACAACTCATTCATATACTACTACTCACTAAAAGGTCAGTTAGTTTTAAAATAACTTTAAAATCAGTATACAGCAAGACACGTTAGTACTGATTGTAGCCAACAAATATAGCCCTTTCCAGTGGTAAAACTTATTCAGGTTAAATGCAAAAGAATATTACAGGAGTTAATTTTCAAGAAGGCTATAGAATTAAAGAGAGAATAAGAATACACTACATAAGAATGCATTTAATGCTGAAAAAAATTTAACTGTTTATTTTACCAATAACTTATTGACAAATATGAAAAGAAACATGACAATTTTTATTCTAAAACATATACTTTGCTAAATATTAAAATGTAATACTACATAATCATTTGCGCAGCTGATATGTTTAAGTAAACAAAATTAAATTATAAGATGAGATGATATATCAAACAATATACTTACAACCAGGAGATTCAAGGCATGTTTAAAGCATTTGTTTTTGAATGACTTCATCAGACAAAATGAGAACTAAAGAACCCATCATTTTTGGCATTTCTTAACATAAAAATGCATACATGCATGTTATGATCCTTATTAGCATGTATTTTTTCCAATTGGATTCAATGAAAACTTACCTGTTTTGTTGACTTTTTTGTGCCATTAAAAATCTTCCAAGCTAGACCATTCCCACCACTGGCAATGTGTCGACCAACATCGAATTCTCTAGTGACAGGATTTCCCATTACAGCACTAGTGACGTCTGCTGTTACTTTTGTAACAGTACTCTTCAACTTATTAAGCATGGACTCCATGGCTGCAATATTGGGCAATTATAATTACCTAGAAACACGGGGGTATAGGGGAGCTCTGATCATTTCTTTATTCTTATTTAATCACTTAACATTCATTACTTAGTATGAAAAGCTTAATATATCTAAACATTGAGCAAAACAATCCTATAGAGATAAAAGCTACATGATGGTTTGGTCTTCTGAGAACCCAATATAACTTTCGTGCAAATTTAAGTCTAGGAACCAACCTGTTCTCTGCAACCTCAACTGTCACAGAACAGGAAGGAAAACACATATTTACACTTGACACTGATATGAATGTTGCTCAACTATATAACTTGGACCTTTTAAGACATACAGTGGTGTAAAGGGTCTGAATCTTCCTTCATACTAAAAACAACCATGTAAAACTTGAAAGGAGACAAAAACAGTAGATTTAAATCCAACCATATAAATAATATCATTAAGTATAAATCATTTTAATTTCAAATTAAAAAGCACAGATTGTCAACTAGATTTTTTTAAAAAGGAGACCCAATTTATGCTGCTTACAAGAAACCCACTTTAAAACCACTTTACAAGATGACTTAAAAGTAAAAGAATGTGAAAATATACCAAGCTGGTGTGGCTATATTAATAGACAGAACAGGCTTGAAGACAAAGAAGGACATTTCATAATGGTAAAGTTAATTCGTCAAGAAGACATAACAAACCTAACTGTGTACACACTCAATGAGAGCTTCAAAATAAATGCAGCAAAAAGTGACAGAACTGAAAGAATAAAAAGACAAATCCACAATTATAGTTGGACTAGAAGGGTCCTTACTCAGTAACAGATGGACAGAGAGACCAAGTAGACAGAAATCAGTAAAGATATAGAAGACCTGAACAACACTATTAAACAATCTGATCTAAAACACTCTACAACAGCAGAATACATTTTCTTTTCTTGTATACATGGAACATTCACTAAGACAGACTATATGCTGGGCCATAAAACACATCTCAACATACACTTGTTAGACATTGGGAATACAGATGTAAATGGAAACGTATCTGCTCTATAGGGACTCAGTCCAATAGCAGACTAAGACCTCCAAAATTTTACAGCAACTCACTAGAGGTATGAATGTACCATGTTATGGGAACACAAAAATGAGCTTAAAAACGAAGAGTTTTTCAGATAGAAAAAATGGGAAGGAGCATTCCAGAAAGGATGTGACAAGACATAAAGGAGAGAAAGACTATGATGTGATCTGAAAACTACAAATAGTCCAATATGAAAACAAACATTATTTTCAGAGTTTATATTCAAATTTGAGATGCCTATTCATAATCTAAACAGAATCAACACTAGTACCCAAGGTAGGAATAGACGTGGAAATTCATCTGGTGAATTATTTAATATTTATTGAGTACCCACTATGTACTTGACACCATATAAGAAACTGGGAAGAAAGAAAAAAAAAAATAAGTCATGAAAGATCTTACCATCCAAGGGGCAAGAGAGAGAGAAGTAAGCCAACCATAGCATTAGCCTACAGTGATAAAATGCTAAAGAATATACATGCACAGTGTTATAGGAACAAAAAGAAGAGGAACAGATGGAAGCAAGTTTCCCCCAAACAGTAATACTAGAGATGTCTTTAAAGGTGAGTAGGAGTGAACTAGATAGTGAATGGTAGAAGTATTGGAGTAATAAAGCAGTTCAGACAAAAGCTGGAGTATAAGAAAGAAGTATGAGAAAGGAGACTTAGAAAAGTGAGATCACCATGGGTATAAAAGTAGTAAGAAATCAAGCTATAATAAGCCAAAGACGGATTTCAGGCATGAGGTGAGATGACCAATCATTAAGGAGAGTGAATGATATACTAGGGGTGAAAGTAAGGAATATGGCAAGACTAAAGAGAACACCAATATGTATTTCAGTAAAGAGGAGGTGGAGAGAGAGAATACAAAGCAAGAACACCAAGAGAAAAGACACTAGGAAATAGGGACAAAGAAGATAGGAAAGAGATGGTGAGTGGACGGGGTGCTAGTTAAGTGGATGTTTACTTTATAATTACATATTAAATTTCATTATGTCCTTTAATATATTATATATCAAAATTTTTAAAGAGGGAGAAATTGCTGAATTAAGAAAACAGCTGTAAGGAAGGAGAAGAAAGGAAAAATTAAGAAACGAGTATGAGTTAGAATTAGGAAAACTTACTGGCCAATTAAAGGGGAGGAACAAAACTAGGAATCCCATCAGGTGTCTAATTTCAGAGTCTAGGTGGAGAGTGAAACCATTTACCAAGGCAGGACTTAAAGGAGGCAACTGTCTTTTGTGGGAGGAAGAACTCAATTTTGGATATATTGAATTTGAGTTGCCTTAATGACTTTCCTATGGAGATATCTAATAGGTTTTCAAATATGTGGGCCAAAAACTTAGGAAAAACTTCTTGACTGAAGATCAAAATTCAGACACCATGACCTTATAAGCAGTGCAGTAATTAAGACTGTGAGCTTGAAAATGGTAACCCAAGGAGACCTAAGAAGAATATCATGACAGCAACAGAAGGTTAAGGACAGATAATTTGAATGAGTTTGTAAAACAACATTTTGAATTATTAGTAATAACCTTTTAACATATAAAAAACCTACAATCTAAATATCTTTTCTTAAACTGATAGCTTTTCAGATTTTCACTTAATTAATGCATAGAGAAATAAGCATATGTTTTCCAAAGATAAAGTTATAAATGACAGGAATATTTATTCATATAAGCCATTTCCCCTTGTACACCACAAGAATTCACTTGAAATTCTTCCCCTCCTAAATCTCAGCCAAAATAAGATTTGAGACAGCTTCAGTATGATCCCAAGATTATACCTTTCTACCATCTGGCTCAGCCATCACTTGGCTTTTAGTAGAACCAGTAGGTGAATCTGTTGTATTACTACATTTTACATGCACCTGGAGAAAGGTGGGTTGAGTATTATAGTACCTGATGGCAGGTAGCTTAAAGGAACTGGCAATTCTTTCAGTTCTGCCTACTCATAAACTCTAGACATAGCAATAATACAGTAGTTAAAATTATATACATGCTAAAAAATGTCCTGAATTTTCAAGTAACACAAGTACAAAAAGAGTCTCTTAATTCGCAAATAAGAAAATACTGAAAAGTAGAACTTGCATTTTTATTAGAAATATTGTAATGCAAATAAAACGGTTACTGTGATTATATCTGATGATGAAATGATGTTTAGTAACTGTTCGTCTCATGGCACCTAGCAGAGACTAGAGTCACTGGACTTTCAATAAGCACAAAATATTACACATTGACTACAAAGAACAATAAAATGAATACAAATGAGCTCAAAATAGTTTTTGTTCCTTGAAGAGGTACCATGGTCTAAGATTTCTTTCTATGTAAATGTCTAAAAAATTTCACCCTGGCCGGTGTGGCTCAATTGGTTGAAGGATTGTCCCATACACCAAAAGGTGGTGGGTTCAATTCCTGGTCAGGGCACATACCCAAGTTGCAGGTTCGATCCCTGGTCTTGGAGGGGACGGAAGGCAACCAACCGATGTTTCTCTCGTACATCGATGTTCTCTCTCTCTCTCTCTCCCCCTCTTCCTCTCTCTAAAATCAATAAAATTAGAAAATAATAAAAATTAAAAATAAAAGACTACCACTTCTATAGTTATTTAAATAGTTAAGCATTCATAAATGAAATTTTATAATTTGAAATAAGAATTACATTAACATGACATACTTTTGGTAAAATGCTTCATAAAATTTGGGGAAATTTTTTGTACCTATACTCCCATATGCAGCACTATCTGTTTATACCTAAAGTAAAATGATCCTGAGAAACATTCTTGAAATACATGTTTTCTTTTTCCTGTGGGAGCACTCAGAGATTAGTAGAAGTTTTAAAAAGATACTTAATAATTTAATGAGATGTTTTTTAAAAATGGCTACTACCATTCTTTGGCCTATACAGAGGTCATGCTTAATCTTACTCATAAAACAAAGATTATACCAGCTGAGTACAATCATTCTCTGTACAACCACAGAAAGTATCTAATATTATCAGTTGAGCTAGGACAGATTACTTACAGAAGACAAACCCAATTTTAAGACACAAATAAAAATCACTAAAGAGACTTAGCAATGTATTATGAAGTACACATTCATTCAACATATCACTGGGTACCTACCTAGTAGAAAGCACCATGTTAGTTAGATACAGTAGGAGAAAGAAGTAAAACATTGCTTCCACCACTGCTTACAAACTTAAGACCATTGTGCCATAAAGTTTAAAAAGCAACATGAGAGATTATAAGGAAACATATGCTTAAATATCAAATTTGTAATGTGAACAATAAGAAAGATCTGAGGAGAGATTATATCCAACTCTTTTGAAGGTACTTCCAGCCCATGTACCTGGTTTAGTTTTTACTACAGGAAATCAATCAGATTGTTTAAATTATTGTAATTTGTTTTTTAATGTAGAAGCACTGGAGTTGCAGAGTCTTCAGCTAGAAAAGGCAGAAAGGAATAACTGGGTAGGAAATTTGACTAAGTGACCTAAGGTCACTTCCTTGGGTCTACAGTTCTTTCTTGATTTAAGAACATATAAAATCTGAAATATGTGGTAGTATAGTATGTGAAAACTGGCATTCATAAAATACTGAAGTGTTGTCTAAGACAATGGTTTTCAAACTCTACTGAACATCTAATAACATCTAATGACTGAGTATCTTGTTAAACCATATAGATGCTTATGTAGTATCTCAAACCTTTCGAATCAGAATCCATAAATGTGCAGTCAGGGCATTTGTATTCTGAGCAGCTCCCCCAGGTGATTCTGATGTGCAGTGTGAGAATTAAGTGTTATATGATTAAGTACACAACCTTCAGTGGCAAGAAAGCCTGAGTTCAAAAGCCAGTTCTTTTTTTAAAAAATATATTTGTATTGATTCCAGAGAAGAAGGGAGAGGGAGAGATAGAAACATCAATGATGAGAGAGAATCACTGACTGGCTGCCTCCTGCATGCCCCCTACTGGGGATTGAGCCTGCAACCCGAGCATGTGCCCTTGACCGGAGTGGAACCTGGGACCCTTCAGTAGACAGGCTGATGCTCTATCCACTGAGCCAAACCAGCTAGGGCCAAATCCCAGTTCTAATACTTAATACACTGTGACCACCAACTAACCTTCCTAAAACTATTTCTAACCTTCTTTTTTTAAAAAGGGGGGAAAATATCACCCATTCTTCAAGTGATTTCTCTAGGGTTAAAGATGATGAGGCATGTAAAATGTTTAGTACAATTCCTGGAATATTTAGGAAGCATTCAATGAATTCATTCATTTAACAAACATTTATTAAGCACTTACACAGTATCAGAAGATGAGGAACTTCTCATTAAATTATTAAGTATTAATAAATATGGCAACTCTGTAATGGTGTTATGAGAACACATAATTAGAAGAATCTATCCTAATCAGGAAAGTCTTCCTGAAGTGAGCTGCATGATGAGTAGGCATTAACTGGATGAAAAGGAAAGGAAATGCATTTCCAAGCAGAGGAAGCTTCATCACCAAAAGCCATGTACCTGAAGCAGAACAGAGTGACTAGGGAAGAAAGGAATGCCAGAACGCACTGTGGAGATGAGGTTGGAAAGTCAATCAGGGGACCGAAACAGGCAGTTAAGAACTTTAGTTCCTTTTATAAACAATGAAGTCACTGAAGGAGACATATTGGAGACAATATGATAAGATCTGTATTTTTAAAATGTCACTCAGTCTGGGGTGGAAACCTAGAAGGAGGCACAGTAAATGCAGCTAGACCATAATTAGGGGGCTAGTGATACTTCAGATGAGAGATGATCGTGGCTGGAACTAGTGGCGAAGATGAAGACAGACCAGATATTCAAGAAGCACAATCAACAGGACTTAATGAGAGATTGATAATGAGGCACAAGAAAGAGGAAGCTGTCACACTTCTCCTATAGAACAGAAAACTAGAGGCCTGTTGCAGGACATTCATGCACTGGGAGGGGGGGCAGGGGGGTCCCCTCAGCCCAGCCGGCCTGCACCTTTCACAGTCTGGGAGCCCTCGGGAGAGCCGGGAGCGGGCCTAAGCCATCAGTCGGACATCCTTAGCAGCTGCCACGGAGGCCTGCCACTGTGCTCGCCAGCCATCAGCCCATCGGCCCAGCTTGTGGCTGAGCGCGCTCGTTGAGCATCTGCCCCCTGGTGGTCAGTGTGCATCATAGCGACCAGTCATTCTTCAGATGGGTCAATTTGCATATTACCCTTTTATTATATAGGATGATAGATGATGAAGCCAGTCACTGGAGTTAAACACAATAAAAGGGCCTATTTTTTTTGGGGGGGGGGCGGGGGGGAATCATGAGTTTCAAACATGTGAGCATGACTAGCTATTCACAATAATAGGGTTATTTGCACAGAAATGTATGGAAGTACAATGTGCTTGTATTTATTTTATTGGTTGTTTGTGGATCTTAGAGACAAAAAAAATAGGTTTCTGAGGCTTCTGCATGTGTGTAAAGTGGATCTGAAAGAATTAAGGTACTTACCTTTCTTAGGTTCCTTTCTTTTACATACTCCCCCAAAAGCGACTTTTTAATCTATTTTATTGATTTTTTACAGAGAAGAAGGGAGAGGGATAGAGAGTTAAAAACATCGATCAGCTGCCTCCTGCACACTCCCTACTGGGGATGTGCCCGCAACCAAGGTACATGCCCTTGACCAGAATCGAACCTGGGACCCTTCAGTCCGCAGGCCGACGCTCTATCCACTGCGCCAAACCAGTTAGGGCCAAAAGCGTCTTTTAAGAGTACAGTTTAATAGTAACAAGAATTTTACCTATACTCAGCTGATAAATCATTTTTAAATTTAAAAAAAAATTAATATTCATACTAAAGAATAAGACAGGAAGCCAAACAAAAGCACCTGCCAAGTTCGAAACGTAGCTTCAAGCACCTGACTTTCAAACCATTACCAGAGCAGGAGGGGATTTTACAGGGACAGGCTGTAAAACTATGTTAATTTTCCTGAATGGAGAGGCACCGTGAATCCAATTTGTAAAACAAATCATCACACAGACAATACCTGAATTTGATTTACAAAAAAAAAATTTTTTAAAAATAGCTTGCAACTTACAAAAAAAAAACAGCTTGCAATTTACAACTGTAAGTCACTATACCGCCTTTACTTTAAGTCGCTTGTCTGGAGACTCGTGAAAACTGTTACAGGAGCTGACTTGACAGCACTGGTCGCCGTAATTACTAACCATAGGTACGTATTCATTCGGATCGCAAGAAGTTTTTGCAAGCTTTATCGGTCTCAACCGTCCTCCATCCTTTCTGTCCCGCTGAGAAAAACTCGAGTGGATGGGGATTTTCAGTCTGAACAAAACACCTGCCCCACCCACCTCAAGCACAATAACCTTCCGTTCCAGAACGAGAGCCACTGTCAGAAAAGGACGCCGGGCGCTGGGGCCCTGGGGGGTGACCCAGGTTATCGGAGGCGGACCCCAGGGCCGAGGGGAGCTGTCTCACCCAGTCCCAGAGGAGAGTCCAATTTCCCAAAAGGGAACCCAGAGTTCGCCGACGGAAACCCGAGCTCCCGAGCCGGAGCGGGGAGCTCTCCCGGCGGCAGACGGCTCCAGCCGCCGTCTCCCGGCGCTTCCAGGC